GCATTTATAGACAACTAAGACAGACAAACTAAACAAACACTCACCTACTCCCAACGTTCGTAAAACTCCTCATCCTCCTCAAGAATAAGTACTTCCTCTCCCTCTTCCTCTGGCAAAGGAGACGCTTCAGCCCCCTCCACAAACTCAACGTCCACAACCTCAACCCCATCACTAGACCCACCCGAAGGAGCAGGATCCAAAGATAAAGGCGGAACGGGGAAGATCTCCAAACTCCCCGAGGAGACGGAGATGACCTCCGACGCCTCAGACGACATGGAGAGATCACTCACCACGAATACCTCGAACAAATCATCCGAGGGGCGATCATCCGATAGGCTCGATTCGGAGTCGCTATCGAACACCACCGGATCGTCCGGTAACTCCGAGGACTCCACCTTAAGATCCTCGATCTCGCAAGGCACACGAGAAAACATCTCAGCGAGCCGAGAGAATACTAACTAGCCAAAGCAATTAAAAGAAGCAGTACCCCGTGGCAAGCAGAACCAGGTATCAAGTAACAAGAATAGATAAGATAGAAAGCGAAAACGACAAGAGATAAAAGTACGAGGAGAGAAGAAAACCATCCTCACTTACCGAGGACCTGCAAAGCCGCGGCACGCGAAATAGCCTCGTACCAGGCAAGAAACTCATCAGGGGAAGAGAACGTCTCCGCCGCGAGGTTCACCACCTGGAGCCAGGGAAGAGAGCGGACACCCCCGACGAGAGACAACCCGAGGGGGTCCACACACTCCTCGACCCAACGCATCACCTGCTCCACCACAGTAAGGGCAGGAACGGGAGCCCCAGGCCCCGCCACGGACCCCTCGCCATCCGACATATCCTCATAGGATCCATCGTCGTCGTCGGGGTCATCGCCGTCATTGGCGTCATCGTCGTCGTCGGCGTCATCGCCGTCATCGGCGTCATCGTCGTCGTCGGGATCATCGCCGTCATTGGCGTCATCGTCGTCGTCGGCGTCATCGCCGTCATCGGCGTCATCGTCGTCGTCGACGTCATCGCCGTCATCGGCGTCATCGTCGTCGCCGCCATCATCGTCGTCGTCGGCGCCGTCGTCGTTGACATCCTCACCAGACTCCCCATCACCCATGGGCACATCCTCGTCACCCATGGTTACATCCTCATCAGACCCCTCGTCATCCGACACCCCCAGAGACGGATCTCCAAAATCCGCAAAAACCTCTCACAAAAGTAGACGGCTCCGCCACGGGCTCACCATCCAACTCGCAAGGCACTGCCTCGTAAGTGTCTTCGACCGTTCGAATAGGATCGCCGAAATGCATTACGAACGCAAAGAAAATATAACTTTTTTCTCGACGACTAGCGTGACGCAACTAACGCTCGACTGAAGAAAAGAACCAAACGACAAAACCATCTCCAACTAAAAAGCACCCAGTCAGCGAACTGAGATTAAATGTAATGATAGCCGAAATATTATATTGCAGAGCGCTAACGATATGCGCCTACCTGACGACGGTCGCAATATCTAACGACGCGCCGCCGTACGAGATAACCACGTTCGCCCAGCAGCCTGGGATATATTTCGAAAAGGTCGGCAGAATGCATCCCGTCGAGGCTACGTGGAAATTAGTAATAAAAACCGACCTCACCCCGTTCACCACACGCCTAGAACAAATAAAGCGATGCGTCGAACGCACGGAAACAACGTGCGAAATACTGCTCGCACACAGCAGCACATGTAAAAATCTCCACGCCATAATCAGCAAAGGGGAAAAGAGACTACAACAGTTGACCGACAGACTAAAGACAGTGTACAAAACACCGAACAAACGACGCGGACTAATAGACGGAATAGGCGTCATTGCAAAAACACTATTCGGAACAATGGACGCAGATGACGACAAGCTAATCAACGAACAACTATCATTGTTACAAGAGTCAGACAGAGCGACAAAACACGCACTACAGCACCAACTAAAAGTAATCAACGCAACTATAGGGCACATCAGCAACCTGGAACAAGTCATCGAAGAAAATGAAAACACCCTAAAAAACCTAATGGAAAAAGTCAAAAGTACACTGGTCACACACA